GGAGGGTTTCAGACGAATGTGGTGGGAAGAAGTGTTGGCAGTGGAACCATGGTGCCTCGCTGCTGGAATATTTTTGGGGGTAATTTACTTAATCCCCTTGCCTCAGTTTGCTCATGTTATGGGGTGGGGTGGGGAGAGGGTGGATAGAACCCAACTCATTGGATGCGTATGAAGATTGTTAGTTAAAATGCTCTTAAAATAATGGTTGCACAAGTAGTGTTGAATGTTTGCAATTTCTAAAATTATTAGTGTCACCACTGTTGTTTGAGAAAACAGGATACAGAATCCTTCATTACTGTACTTTGGGAGAAAACAAAATCCCCAGTGTTTGGAGTTCACCTTCTTTTTTTTTTTTTTTTTTAATTTTTTTTTTCAACGTTTATTTATTTTTGGGACAGAGAGAGACAGAGCATGAACGGGGGAGGGGCAGAGTGAGAGGGAGACACAGAATCGGAAACAGGCTCCAGGCTCCGAGCCATCAGCCCAGAGCCTGACGCGGGGCTCGAACTCACAGACCGTGAGACCGTGACCTGGCTGAAGTCGGACGCTTAACCGACTGCGCCACCCAGGCGCCCCTGGAGTTCACCTTCTGTAATGTCAAAATACTGTTTCTAATAATAGCTGTAAGGGAGAAAGCGTTCATAATAAAACAAGAAAGCATAGATAGATTGACATGAAAGAAATTAAATACTCTGACAAGGGGAAATAGTTGTCATTAAACCGAAGGAAAAAGTTTGAAGACAGGCATAAAACAGCAGAGAAAAAAAAAAACTATAATTTGCCGCTATCTCCGGAAGAAGTTAGCTGAGCGGAAAAGAATTTGAGTTTTGATCTGAGAGCGTATGGAACTGATGACAGTGCTCATTCAGCTCTGGCACTTGGCATTGGAAGTTCAGTGATGAATCACACATGATCCTCAGAAGGTGACTGTCTCATAGGGAGTATGAACAATAAAGACTAACACTTTGAAGTGTTCTCTGGAAGAGGTAAATGGGACATCATGAGGATACCTAACCCAGTTTTTCGATGAGAGATGTCAAGAGCCATAAGAAGTGGCATCTCAGCGGAAGCTGAGGGATGAGTGGGCGGGAGGGACTTGGAGTCTCTCTGGTCGAAAAGTTAAATGATGCATGGGAGGTCTGGAGTGCTGGTGGCATTCAGAAATGCTAGTGGCAATGTAGATAAGACAGGGTGGTGATTTGAGCTCAAAGGAAAGGCAGAATTAGAGAGATGGAACAGGAATTTCAGTTGTGAAAACCTCTATCTTGTTTGCTGGGCATACATGAGGCTGAAGAGTCAAGAGGCCACACTCTGCCTTCATAATGTTATTTGAGATAGCTTGACACTTTCCAAGTGGAGCGTGTGGGGATTGAACCAAAGACAAGTTCATCTGCCTGATATGCAGCAAAGCCCAGCACAAAGCTATCGGATATGCAGCGAAGAAAGTTTATTTGAGAGGCAACCCAAGGAGGGGATGGGAGAACAAGCCCCAAAGCCCCCTCTCTGAGGGAGGCAAGAACAAGTTTTTTTTCTTTAATAATCATAGGGTTGGGATTATATACATATTGATAAAACAGTGGGGAAACCTACAACTAATCATGAGGAGAGGTAGAGCATGTGCATTCAGTGACCGCAAGCATATATCCCACGTTCCCTTTGGGGTGGATACTTAGCATCAGAAGGAGGCAAAATTTAGCACCCTGGCCTCATGCAGTTATCTTAGGACAAGGAGAAGGGGCTACGGGTCTGCTCTGAGAACCAGTATAACCTGGATTGGGTCTTGGACTCCTTATCTCGGGTAAGGAATGTATGGCCTTGCTTGTTCATCCATTGACCTTGAAACCAGGCTGCTGCAGAAAAATCTTCTGAGTTTTTTTAGTAGGGTCTGAAAAGAAACAGTAGCTGATCAGGGAGAAACAGTTCTCTGGAAGAAAAAAAAAAAGGTTTAAGCTTTGTGCTAGTTTCAACCTCATTAAGCCGATGGGGTACAGTTTCAGGGAGGCAACTGAATATATGCAGTAGGCTCCCTGGCTAGAGATAGAGGATCTCCCTGGCAGACCATCATATGGGAGGCAGGTCTTCTCAGTGCTAATGAAGTCATGAGAGTATGCACACTCACCCCCAGAAGGATCTACAGAATGAAGTAACAAGAGTTCCTACAGTAACCCGTCGGGAACATCACATCACTTCTCTGCCTAATTAGATATAATTAGGCAGAGAAGGAAAGGTAGCCAGAGGACAAGCTGAAAACCAGGGTGGTTTGCTATCCTGGAAACCAAGGAGAGAGCTTTTTGGGCAGGAGACAGCTAAGAGTCATCAATGGCTACACATGTTATACACAGGGTAACTGACATCACTGAGGAAGAAACTGTTAAGATGAATTTACCAAGAAGAGAGCCACCTAATGACTTTGAATAATTTAAGTGATTTTTATAGACTCAGAAGGGAGTGGAAAGTGAGATTACAATGGACAGGGGTAGATGCCAGAGTCTGTGTTTTAAGGAAGCAAAGAAAACTAGGTTGTGTAGACGCACAAGATGTAGCGGGTAGGTCAGGTTTCACTGAGATTACAGTTTTGGTCAGAGACCATGATTTTCTGAAGGTAGCGTTTTGGGTGGAGCTGTGGGTGGGTGCCGCTGTCTGGGAGTTATTTTAATTGTTGCAAGGTTAGGGAGTGCTTCCACGATTTTTGCAAGTGTAGAGGTGAACAGTTGTCTTGATCCATAGTAGAGCACTATTTCACTTTCCTGAAACTCCTTTGGAACATTAGGGAATTTTCTGTATACTGCCTATGGTATTATATAATGGCATCTATTGTTAAAGTATAGCATTGCCGGGTAATAGTAATTACATGTAAACTATCTAGAACAAACTAAGCCAAGATGCTCTTTTTCTGGAGCTGGAAATACTTAGTTTCAAAATCCCCATAAGAAAAAAATTCTGAGCAAGAAGTCTGATTATAAGAGGCATAAAGCTTGTAATCAATCAACTGGTTGTCAAACTAAATTATAAACTCTGCATGTTGTTGAAAGCATGTCTTTTATAGTGCATGTTAGGAGGAAGAAATACTTCAACTTAGTTGAATAAGTTAAACAATCCAGTTGATTATTTCTTTTTCCATACAGATCACTGTCTATGAAAGTCATATTTGGAATTCTATCTTCTTTATCTGCTTTCAAGATAGTTACTGAAATTGAATGCATAAAACAGGAATACTTGTATAATTTAATCAGGGGTATGCTGTTACTTAATCTTTTTCTTGGTGGTTCCAGGATTTCTAATGATGTTATATATTTGTATCTACAATGGAATTATGTAGCATTTTTAGCTTTTTTTTTTTTCCTATTGTAAAATGACTCAGGGTATTCAGTGCATGTAATGTCATTAATACAACTCTATATTAGTCCTCTTTTTAGACAATGCTTTTAATTACTATGATTTTTTGTTTGCTTTTTGCTTTTGTTCTGATTTGGACAGTTGATTGAGGAACATTCACTTATCTTGGTCAGCAGAGTGGAAATGTTAAAAACAAAACAAAACATATTGCCAGTAGGTGGATTTGAGGACGTGATGTAAAGGAAATGTTGGATGGTGTTTATAGATACAATTTTAGAATTTAGGAATATGGTGTAAAAGGAGAGTAATATTTCACTTGAGTAGAGTTCTCTTGACCAGTCTCTTAATCTGAAGTAAGACGGGGATCCAGGGTGTAAGAAAGAAAAGTTTCCTCAGGGATCAAAGTAGATCTATCTCCTTTGTCCTTAGGTCCTCACCCTTACAGGAGAGGCCTCCATGTTCTTTTAGCCCTTTAGGACTTTACTGGATGTGTCTCCATCATGTTTTTTTACATAATTGTTCTGACAGATCTGTTTGGTTTTCAAGCTCATGGTTAATTAAAAAGGAAGAGGAGTTGCTGAAGTAGAAATGACACGTTCTAGGGGGAAAAATCTCCCCTCCACTCCCCTCAAAATTCTAAAAGCATAGCAACATCATAGCTTTTCTGTAAGTGGATATTGGATAAACAGCCCAGACAGCTACCTCAGGGAGTTTCTGAAGGAATGTGTGATCCACTGATCAGTAAAGGAAGATGAACTTTATTTGACATAATGCCCTAAAACGCAACATTTTTTTTTTCCATGTAGGGCTTTTCAGAGTAGTAAATTTTGATATTTAAGTGACATCTTTTCACTTATGAAAAGCTCAGTTCACTAACATGAAATGAAGCCTTACATTTTGAAAGACTTTAATGCATATTTATTTTGAGCTATGAAATACGTAATGCTTATTTAATAATCACTTGTTACTATAGCATTTCTTAAGCATCCACTGGGTACAGAGTATACTAGAAAAAGAAGACGTAAGTTGCCTGACCTCTAGGAACTCTCCTTCTGAGAGAGACTGAACCTGAAGTGACAGGTTATCATTAGTTTGTTTCAGATCATGGGAGAGTAATCAGAGCAGAGTGCTATATGCTGTAGAAGGCTTCTTAGAGGAGGAGTGAGGTTTTTTTTTAATTTTTTTTTAACGTTTATTTATTTTTGAGACAGAGAGAGACAGAGCATGAACGGGGGAGGGTCAGAGAGAGAGAGAGGAAGGCACAGAATCTGAAACAGGCTCCAGGCTCTGAGCGGTCAGCACAGAGCCCGATGCAGGGCTTGAACTCACAAACCGTGAGATCATGACCTGAGCCGAAGTCGGCCGCTTAACCGACTGAGCCACCCAGGCGCCCCAAGGAAGAGCGAGTTTTGAAATGAATTTAGATAAAAGTGGGGAAGGTTGCCTATCTGTATATATTTTAGGAACATGAACATTAATTTTGTCTTTTCAGTTTTATTGTTGAATGTAAATTCAGCTTGTTCCCCATCAAATCAAAAGCTAATAGGCGGTTATTTAACGCAAACAAGGCACACATCTTACATACTCCCACTAAGTGGGTAAAAGCATGGAAGAATCATTAAAATCTTGCAAAGATCTTTCCCTTCTTTATTCTATTACCTACCTGCTGCCAGACCAGAGCCTTGGCTGGTGAAAGAGATAAATACTTCATTTTCATATTCTCGTTGTCTTATCACTAGATGCCTGTGGTGAACCACCAAAATTCGAAACTATGAAGCTCAAGGGTAAACCTAAAAAATATTATGAGGTTGGGGAGAAAATATATTATGAGTGTCTCCCAGGACGCATTACTGTGTTTCCCGTCATGGCTTATTGTGAGCAGAATCACTCGTGGTTCCCTCTCCAAGAAGCTTGTATGAGTAAGTAAACAAAACAACGTATATGTATATATATTGTTTTCTCTAGAGATTTTTACAAATATTAGGGTCCATTTTCCACTACCGCAATTTTTCTCATGTGAAAAATTAGTTTCAGATAGCAATATTTTTTCCAGAATTTGATAAATCTCCAGGGGATCTTTTTCTTGGCAATAATTGTTTACCTGGTTGAATGTGAATTTTTAAGTTTGCATAACAGCTAGGTATAGAAAATAATATTGCGTTAGTTGCAGAGAGTCGTGCAGAATTTTGACCTTGATTTAAATCTGTTCTGAAATTGGCATTAAAGTTTTTTTTCAATCTTATTTCAGAAAAAGAATGCGATAGGCTAGCACTTCAACATGGTGAAGTTGTTGCCCCAAATAAAACCTTTTCGTTTGATCACGAAGCTCACTTTTATTGTGATGAGGGGTAAGTTGCTCCTTAGAGAAAATCAGGTGAATGTCACTAATTCCATTTTTGTTTTGTTTCACAAGTGTTCCCATAAAGTTTATTTCATTAATTTGTATGTGACAACTCACAGTTATAGCCAAACAACTCTTGGGCTTTTTATGGAGACTGAAAAGATGCATAATTAATTCAAAGAAATTTATATTGAAGTGAAGCAAAATTGTCTAATACTATACCTAATAATAAGTTTATTGTAAGCACCAAAAATGTAGTAATCATGGTGACTTTATTCTTGACAAAGTATATCCTATTTAAAATGCCAACTCTCAGGTTTGAAGGAGGACGTACAGAGATGTTGTGTTCTTAAAGTCCTCTATTTCTTTCTTTACTTACATTGTCTGCTTGTTCTATCCATTATTGTGGATTGGGTAGTGAGGCTTCCAACTACTGTTGTAGAAATGCCTATTATGTAGAAATGTGTATTTTTTTGTCCAATTCTGTCAGTTTTTGCTTCAGATGTTTTGACGGTCTGCATCAGGTGGCATAAATGTTTACAATTGTGACATCTTCCTGTTGCATGAACCGTTATTAATTAGTAACATATAATATCTTTTGTCTCTGGTAACCTTTTTTTAATTTAAAGTCTACTTGGTGTGATATTAGTATAGCCAACCATACTCTCTTTTGGTTACTATTTGCTGAAATATCTTATTTAGTCCATTTACTTTCAGCCTGTTTTCATCTTTGGATCTCAAGTGAGTCTCTTATACATAGCATATGGTGGGATCATGTGTTTTTATCTATTCTACCAATCTCTGTCTTTTGATTGGAGAGTTTTAATCCACTTAAATTTGAAGTAATTATGGATAAGGAGAGGAATTACTTCTGTCATTGTGCTATTTGTTTTCAGTATGCCTTATAGCTTGTTTTGGCCCTCATCTCCTACATTACTGTCTTCTTTGTTTATTTGACTTTTTCTGGTAAACTGTTCTTATTCTTTTCTCATTTCCTTTTGTCTATATCCTATGGCTGTTTTTTTGTGGTTACCATGGAGATTACATTTAACATCCTAAAGTTAAAACATTCTAATTTGAATTTATACCAGTTTAACTTCATAACATACAAAAACTTTTATCCTTTATAACTCCATCCCCACCCCATTTGGTTGTTTATTACACAAAAGTACATCTTTATACATCATGTTTGCTATAACATAAACTAATAGTTCTTATAAATTAGTCCTTTCAGTTATGTAGAAAACAAGATTTGGTGTTAAAAACAAAGTTACAGTAATACTATGTTTTACACTGATTGTTTCTTTTTTTTCTTTTAAATACACTAGTCTCTTAAGTTATAAAGAAAATAAAAATTGCAATTATAAGCCATCGCTACAATAATACAAGCTGTAATAATTTCCCATGTATTTACCTTTAGTGTGATATTTATCTCTCCTGATGGCGCAAAGATACTTTCTAGTATCCCTTCATTTCATCTTGCAGGACTCCCTTGAGAATTTATTTCTTGCAGGGAATGTCTAGTGGTCACCAATTCCTTCAGCTTTTGCGTATCTATCAAGTCTTAGTTTCTCCTTCACTTTTTTTTTTTTCAGAAATACACATTTAACCTTTATTTTTTTTTTAATATGAAATTTATTGTGAAATTGGTTTCTATACAATACCCAGTACTCTTCCCAACATCCCTTCACTTTTGAAAGACAGCTTTGCTGGATAGAGGATTCTTGGTTGACAGTTTTTTTTCTTCTAGCACTTTTTGAGTATATTGTCCCACTGTCTTCTGGCCACCAAAGCTTCTGATAAGAAATCTGCTGATAATCTTATTAAGGATCCCTTGTATGATGACTCACTTCTGTTGTCCTTCTTTTGAAGATTCTCTCTTTGTCTTGTCTTTTGAAAGTTTGAGTGTTATGTGTCTTAGTTACTCTTTGAGTTCACTTTACCTGGAGGTTTTTGAGCTTCTTGGATGTTTATATTTATGTCTCTTTTTCTTTAATTTTATTTATTTATTTTGCAAGACAGAGAGAGAGAGAGAGAGAGAGAGAGAGAGAGAATATGTGTGCTAAAACAGGGGAGGGGCAATAAGAAAGAGAATCCCAAGGGCTTCATGCTGTCAGCCCAGAGCCCAACATAGGGCTCAATCCCATGAACCATGAGATCATGACCTGAGCCAAAATCAAGAGTCGGAGGTTTAACTGACTGAGCCACCCAGGCGCCCCCAATATATTCATGTCTTTCATTAAATTTGGGAAGTTGTCAGCCATCACTTATTCAAATGTTCTCTCTGCCTCTGTCTGTCTCTCTTCTCCTTCTGAGACTCCCACAATATGTATGTTGGTCCACTTGATGGTGTCCCACGGATCCCATATGTTCTGCTCACTTTTCTTCACTCTTTTTTCTTTCTTTTCCTCAGACTCAATAATCCCCATTGTTCTGTCTCCATGTCCACTAGTTTCTCCTGCTGCTCAAATCTGCATTCAATTCCTCTAGTGAATTTTTCATATCCCAGTTATTTTAATGTTCCAGAGTTTATTTTTATTTCTTTTTAGGGTTTCTGTCACCCCATTGACATTTCCATTTTGATCATGCATGATTTTCTTGACTTTCTCCAGTTCTTCCTTAGTTTTTTGAGCATGTAAAAATAGTTATTTTGAAGTCTTTGTCTAGTAAATCTTCCATCAGGTCTTTTGGGGGAACAGTTTTCGTTTATTTATTTTTTTCTTTTCAGTGTTCCAAACTCTCCTGTTTCTTTGTATATCTTGTGATTTTTTGTGGAATACTGGACATTTGAACCTAATAATGTGGGCATTCTGTAAACCAGATTCTTCCCTTTCCCCAGGGCCAGTTGTTTTTTTTTTTTTTTTTTTTTTTTTTTTTTTTTTTTTTTTAATTTTTTTTTTCAACGTTTATTTATTTTTGGGACAGAGAGAGACAGAGCATGAACGGGGGAGGGGCAGAGAGAGAGGGAGACACAGAATCGGAAACAGGCTCCAGGCTCTGAGCCATCAGCCCAGAGCCCGACGTGGGGCTCGAACTCACGGACCGTGAGATCGTGACCTGGCTGAAGTCGGACGCTTAACCGACTGTGCCACCCAGGCGCCCCATCAGTTGTTTTATGTTATTGTTCATGTGTTTTTTTGTTTTGTTTTGTTTTGTTTTTGAATGTTGTACAATATCTCTGTTGAAGACCAGCCTGAAATTTAAACTGAAGGCCTTCTCAGTCTTTTCTCAGCCTTTCCCTGGCCATGCACATTCACTTTTTAACTTTATTCACATATTAAGATGTTTCTGAATAATCTTTAATGTCTGGCTCCTGAGAGGGGAAAAATGAAAAATGATATGGGGATCAAAGAGCACTGGCTGTTTAAACCCCCTGGAAGTCACTTCAGCCAATTAGGAAGGGGCTTAAAAGAGTTAGGAGTAGATGTGACAGCTATGGCTACCCACCTCATTGACTACATCTCTGTGACCAGAACCAGAATTCAGTGATAAGAGCACAGATCCCTGCTATTCAGAGGACGGGGCCCTTTTTGTCCACCCTTGATCCCCCAAACTGCTTCCAAGCTGCTCCAGGAATATGTGCACAGCTGCCTGCTGGGGGTGAGGGATGGGTACCTGACACTGTGCTAAGATGAAATCGACTGAAATCAATGGAGTTTACCTGTCCAAGTCTTTCCTGGGAAGTTGCAAGCCATCAACAGACTCCAGAGCTCCACAGTAGTCACCCTTGACAGATTCTGCCATTGCAGTTGTTGCCCAGTTGGGTAGACAGGTTCCTGGCACTTCCCACTCTGCCATTTTCCTGGAATTCTCCCCCAAAGACTCTAATATAGAGAAAAGGCAACCGCATCCATGTATAGACATTTTCACTGACTACTTTTTTCACTTGATCAAGAAAACATACTGGAATATCCAGTCAGAAGTTTTAGAGAGAGAGCCTGCTAGGCAGTTTGAGGGATGCCGCAAGTTTAAGACCTATTCTTTCCTCCAAGAAGTTATAGCCTTGTTGAGAAACACAATGTATACAGAGAGGTGTCAAAGCAAAATAATTAATGAGAAGTAGCAAATAAATAAAATTATTCATGATTGTTACAAAAAAGCCGAGCAGAAGAGAGTACTGTGAATTTAAATCATGAGAGAAAATTTCATTATGTAGTATTCCTGAGCTATTCCCAGAAAAATATTCTTACCTAAAAGTATTAAAGGGGCTGAAAACTACCCAGCACTCACTATGTACCAGATGCTAACTCATCTAATCCTTAAAACAATCCCATGGAATATTTACTATTATCCCCTTTTCATAGATGAGGAATCTGAGCAAGAGAAACATTAAAGGACTTGCCTGGGCTCAAACAGAAAGTGAGTCATGGAACTGGGACTCAGATCCAGGCAGGCAAGCTCTAGGGCCTAATGTCTCTACTCAGTTGCTTTTACTGAGAAGAATGGAGTGAGCACAGACATAGAAATGGATGTGTAATGTGGTTGCTGGAGACGACAGAGAGACCAGACTGACAGGTACGACAGAGTTATTTCAAAATCTTCTGGCTTTTGGTCAGTGAGCATTCACCTGTGGAAACTCTATTTCATTAAGTGCAGACATGGTTAGCGCTTTCACGGTATAATGTTGTTTAAGAAACTTCTCCCTCAAACTACTGTAGTGCAGAAACGCAACAGTATTGAAATTTTCATTATTATGCACATCTTGTTAACTAATAGAGAAAACAGTAAGTTTTTCTTTTCTCATTTAGTTATTACTTAGTTGGGCAACAAGTTATAGTTTGTAACCTTCGTGGAAATGACGTGTATTGGAGTGATAACCCCCCACAATGTAAAAGTAAGTAAATTTTCAGTTTAGAATTTAGACTAGCAAGCCTCAGTCTTTTTTGACCTCATATCCCCTTTAAGCTTTTAAATTGTCAAAGATCCCAAAGAGATTTTTTTTTATGTGGGCTGTGTTTATTGATATGCATTATATTGGAAGAAAAACTGAGAAGTTAGGAAAATAATTATATATTCATTCCTGTTTAAGAACAGTAAGCTCAATACATGTTAATGTATGTAGCATATTTTTATGAAAAATAATTTTCTGAAACAAAGGCTGAAAATAATGCCTTTTTTTTTTTTACATTTTTGCAAATCTCTTTAATATCTGGCTTACAGAAGGACATCTGGATTCAGTCTGTTGTGAAAGCTCACAATTTGTAGCTTGGAAAATTTCACTGTACATTCATAAGGATGTAAAGAAAGACAATATCTTGGTATTATTGTGAATCACCCATTTAGCAAATGGGTATATTTAAATATTATAAAGAATTTCTCAAATAGCAGTGAATTTTATTTTTAATCACCAGCATTTTTTCTCATTACATTTTCAGTAATGAGACTAGAACGAAAGTTAGCATGGCCTTCTAAAGTAATAATAGGTTTTTCATAGAGGTATTTGCCAAAAAGAGTTTTGTTCTGAAAGTTCATTTGTTTATGGCTTGAATTGGGGATAATAATACATTTTCTCATAGAAGCCTAAATAAATAGCTTGTAGAAATCATGTTAATGAATTTACTGAAGGCAGTTCATAGGACTTTACAATGCTATCTTGACACTTTTCCTTTGGCCCTGTCTTGCCTCTTTGTATTTCCTTTTTAAGAGATTTACTGTCAACCGCCTGCAAAAATAAATAACGGAAAATACAGCAATAGCCACAGAGCTATATTTGAATATAATGAATTAATAACTTACAGTTGTAATCCTTCACAAGGATCAGACGAATTTTCACTTGTTGGAGACAGCAAACTTATTTGTGTTGGGAATAACAAGTGGAGTAGTGACCCTCCTCAGTGTAAAGGTAATGATGTTTCCATTTATTTCCTTCTTCATTTGTTAATTGTAAGTTTGGAAACAGTTTGTAAATGGTTTTATCTGTAAGTAAAGAAAACAGTCATATGTGCTTCCTCCTCCTGTTAAATTGACTCCCAACATAGATTAATATAGAGAAAGTCAAATCAGTTTTACAGAGCTACCCACCCCCCATTTCACACGTTCTCAGAATTCTAGTTCACACATTGTGAACCACTGCGTATATGGCATGAGTTAGGAATTTTTGGCTTGAAAGAACTCAAAAATTCAACATATACTATCTTAAAAATAAGAAATCTTTTCTTATATTACAAGATGTCTGAGAGTTCTGGCTGGACAGTAAATTATAAAAGACTAACCCTGTCACAGCCAAGATTGATAAGCTCTGTACAAAACATATTTAAAAAACGGGATCGCCTGGGTGGCTCAGTCGGTTGAGCGCCGACTTCAGCTCAGGTCATGATGTCACGTCCGTGGGTTCGAGCCCCGCATCAGGCTCTGTGCTGACAGCTCAGAGCCTGGAGACTGCTTTGGATTCTGTGTCTCCCTCTCTCTCTGCCCCTTCCCCCACTCATACTCTGTCTCCCTCTGTCTCAAAAATAAACATTAAAAAAAAATTAAAATAAATAAAATAAAAAACAATGATTAAGACACTGGAGAATGATCAAAAGCAGGGGGTCACTGGAGAGGATTTGACTCTTGGAAGAAAGGGACCACTGAATAATAGCAAAATATTTACTGTTTTCGAGCGCACATGGAGCATTCTCTAAAATGAGCAAGATAATTTTTAACAAATTTCAAAAAATTGATATGATTCCAAGTACATTACCTGATTACAGTGGAATGAATGTAGGAATCAAAACAGGTTAATAACTTAGAAATCTTCAAATATTTGAAAATTATGCAAGATACTGCTAACCAACCCATGAATCAAAGAAGAATTCCTAAGGCAATTTAGAAAGTGTTTTGAATTGAATAAATTGGATAAAAAGGAAAATACAGCATATTAAAATATCAAAAACATTGCTTAGAGGAAAATTTATGACATGAAATAGTTAATGTTAGAAAAAAAGAAAAGTCTCAATAACCTGTGCTTCTAAAAAAGAACAAATTAAGCTCTAAACAAGGAGACAGAAAGAGAATATCTTTAGAAATAAATCAATGAAATTGAAAAGAGAAAATTACTGAAACCAGCGCCTGGTTTGGGGGGAAAACCAATAAAGTAGATAAAGTTATAGCCAGACTGAAAGAAAAAAAAGAAGATACTTATTATTAACATCAAAAATGAAAAAGAAAACCCAAATATCCTACAGATGTTTAAGGGATAATAGGGGAATATTATGCAAACAAATTTGTGTTTATAAATTTGACAACATATGTGTGAAATTGACAAATTCCTTCAAAGACACAAAATACCAACCCAAACTTATTCAAAGATGTACATAAGCTGAATAATTGTCTCCTTCTTCTCCTCCCCCTCTTCCTCCCCCTCCTTTTGCTTTTTTAAGTAAGTTCTATGCCTAATATGGGGTTTGAACTCACAACCCTGAGATCAAGAGTCACATGCTATACCCACTAAGCCAGCTAGGCACCTCCGAATAGTCTTATATCTATTAAAGAAATAGAACTTACAGTTAGAAACCTTTCTAAAGGGGCACCTGGGTGGCTCAGTCAGTTGAGCATGGGACTTCGTCTCAGGTCATGATCTTGTGGTTTGTGAATTCGAGCCCCAGGTCGGGCTCTGTACTGATAGCTCACAGCCTAGAGCCTGCTTCTAATTCTGTGTCTTCCTCTCTCTCTCCCTTCCCCACTTTTGCTCTCCCCCCCACCTCAAAAATAAGTAAACATTAAAAAAAACCAAAAAACTTCCCACAGTGAGAACTGCAGGCCCACCTGGCCTCCCTGGGGAATTCTAGCAAACATTTCAGGAATAAATAATAGTACCTTCATGCAAGCTTTGCAAGACATATAAGAGGAGAGGGACACCTGGGTGGCTCAGTCAGTTGCATCCAACTCTTGGTTTCAGCTCGGGTCATGATCTCATGGTTCCTGAGTTTGAGCCCGATGTCAGGCTCTGTGCTGACAGTGAGGAGCCTGCCTTGGATTCTCTCTCTCTCCCTCTGTCTCCTTCTCTGTCCCTCTCTGTCCTTCTCTCCCTGCTCCTTCTACATGCTTTCTCTCTCAAAAATAAAAACAATAATGAAAAAAATTTAAAGACATGTAAGAGAAAGGAATATTTCTCAACTCATTTCATGAGGACAGCATTACCCTGATGCCAAAACTGGACAAAAACATTGCAAGAAAATTACAAACAATATCTTTAATGACCATAGAACCAAAACTTCTCAACAAAATGTAACAAAGCAAATCCTGCCATGTATAACAATAATAATACATCACAACAAAGTAAGATTTATCCCATAAATGCAAGATTCGTTCAGATTCAAAGATTAATCAGTATACTAGATGAGGAGACTATAGATAAAAAAAAAGTGAAACTTTTAATAGATATTTAAAAAAAAGCACTTCACAGAATTCATCATCTTTTTCAGGATAAAATTTCTCAACAAAGTGGGAATAGAAAGGCAGTAACTACTTCATTCTGATAAAAGCCATCAACAAAAATCTCAGAGCTAACATTATACTTAATATTAAGACTAACTTCCCCCCAAGCAGGAACAAGAGAAGGAAATCCACTCCCACTACTCTCCAGCGTTGTACAAGAGGTCTTAGCTACTATAACAAGGCAAGAGAAAGAATTAGACATACACATTGCAAAGTAAGAAATATAGTCTCTATTCACTTATGACTTGGTTGTATACAATATTACAATGACTGAAGTTTTAACAAGGTTTCAAAATATAAGATCAGCATATGGAAGACAGTTATATGTCTATATACTAGGAATAAGCCATTAGAAATCGAAATTTTAATCAACAAAACTAAAAGGCAAACAACAGAATGGGAAGAGATATTTGCAAATGACATATTGGGTAAAGGGCTAGTACCCAAAATCTGTAAAGAACTCACCAAACTCCACACCCGAAAAACAAATAATCCAGTGAAGAATTGGGCGAAAGACATGAATAGACACTTTTCCAAAGAAGACATCCAGATGGCCAAGAGATACATGAAAAGATGCTCAACATCACTTGTCATCGGAGAAATACAAATTAAAACCACATTGAGATACCACATCACACCAGTCAGAGTGGCTAAAATGAACAAATCAGGAGACTACAGATGCTGGCAAGGATGTGGAGAAACGGGAATCCTCATGTACTGTTGGTGGGAATGCAAACTGGTGCAGCCACTCTGGAAAACAGTGTGGAAGTTCCTCAAAAAATTAAAAAAAGATCTACCCAATGATCCAGCAATAGCACGACTAGGAATTTACCCAAGGGATACAGGAGTGCTGATGCCTAGGGGCACATGTACCTCAATGTTTATAGCAATGCTCTTAACAATGGCCAAATTATGGAAAGAGCCTATTGTCCCATCAACAGAAGAATAGACTAAAAAGATGTGGTTTCCTATATACAATGGAATGCTACTTGGCAATGAGAAAGAATGAAATCATGCCATTTGAGCAACGTGGATGGAACTGGAAGATATTATGCTAAGTGAAATACGTCAGTCAGAGAAGGACAGATATCATATGTTTTCACTCATATTTGGATCTTGAGAAACTTAGCAGAAGGCCACGGGGGAAGGGAAGGGAGAAAAAAAATAGTTACAGAGAGGGAGGGAGGCAAACCACAAGAGACTCTTAAATACAGAGAACAAACTGAGGTGGATGGGGGTAGGGTGGGGGAAAGGGGAAATGGGTGATGGGTATTGAGGAGAGGGCTCTTGCTGGGATGAGCGCTGGGTGTGGTATGTAAGCCAATTTGACAATAAGTTATATTCATAAAAAAAAAAAGAAATTGAAATTTTAAGAAGTATTTATAGTAGTTCCAAAATATGAAATTCTTGAGTATAAATCTAACAATATATGTGAAAGATATTAATGCTAAAACCTACTAAACACTAATAATGGAAACTAAAGAAATCCTTAATCAATGAAGGGATATACACTAGGTACGGTTTGGAGGATTCAATGTAATAGTCAAGCCTCTCTAATTTATCTAAACTCAGCACAATCCCAACAAAAATCCTAGCAGAACCTTTTTTTAATGGTTATTTGTTCTTGAGAGACAGAAAGACAGAGCATGAGTGAGGGAGGGGCGGAGAGAGAGAGAGACAGAATCCAAAACAGACTCCAGGCTCTGAGCTCTCAGCACAGAGTCTTTCACGGGGCTCAAACCCACAAGCCATGAGACCATGACCTGAGTCGAAGCTGGACACCCAACTGACTGAGCTCCCCAGGTGATCCCAGCAGAACCTTTTGTATAAATTAAACTGATTCGGAAATTTATGTGGAAAGACAGAATATCTAGAATAGTGAAAATAATTTTGAAAAAAATTAGAAGATTCGCTCTACCGGACGTTAAGACTTAATATAAAGCACACTTAAGGCATATAATCAAAACAATGTGGTATAGGTAAAAGGATAGCCATATAGAGCAATGGAATAGAGTACTACATCCAGAATTAGATACCTGCCAATATGTCCAGTGGATTTTCTTCAGGTGTACGGGTATACAAACAGTTCAGTGGAAAATGATGATATTTTCAACAAACGGTACAACACAATCGGATATCCATATGCCAAAAAAAGGGAACCTTCATCGATGTTAGAACCATAGACAAACATTTATTCAAAATGAATCATAGAGATCCAATAATTCCACTACTGCATATTTATCCAAGATGAAAACACTAATTTGAAAAGATATATGCACTCCTGTGTTTATTGCAGCATTATTTAGAATAGTCAAGTTATAGAAGCAACCTGAGTATCCATCAAGAGATGAATGGCTAAAGAAGATGTAATGTATGCGCGCACACACACACACACACACACACACACACACACACACACAGGAATATTACACAGCTATAAAAAGGATGAGATGAGAACTTGCCACTTGCAACATGAATGGACCTAGAAACTTTATGCTAAGTGAAATAAGTTAGACTGAGAAGGACAAATGCCATATGATTGCATTCACGTGTGGAATTTAAGAAACAAAACAGATGAGCATAGGGAAAGGGAAGGAAAAATAAGATTAAAACAGAGAGGGAGGCAAACCATAAGAGCCTCTTAAATACGGAGAACAAACTGAGGGTTGCTGGAGGGGAGGGTGGTGGGGGATGCACTAAATGGGTGATGGGCATTAAGGAGGGCACTTTTGGGGATGAGCACTGGGTGTTATGTGTGATGACTCACTACATTCTGCCTCTGACCACAATACTGCACTGTATGTTAACTAACTTGAATTTAAATAAATAAATTTAAAAATATATAAAAAAGGAAAAAACTAAAAATGACTTCTATTTCCTTGGATAATGAATTCTACATGCTGAGCTGTGATGTGTAATTCTCATGCTAAAAAAATAAAAGAGCGATTAAAATTAAAAAACTAAAAATAAATAAACTTTGGGAAAAAATGGATCATAGAATTACACGTAAAACCTAAAACCTTAAGATTTTTGCAAGAAAACATACAAAATACTTGTGACCTAGCCAAAAATTTCTTAAATACCACCCATAAAGTGTGTGATCCTTTAAAGAAAAAAACTTGGATGTTCCAAATTTGAGACTTCTGGTCTGCAAAAAAATTGTTAAAGGAATGGGGAAAAAATTAGCAATAGACTGGGAAAAAATATTAGCAAAGCATATATCAAATAATAACTTTTATCTATGATACATAAAGAATTCTCCAAGCTCAATCATAGAAAACAAGCCAATTTTTTAAAAAAATGGATAAAATATTTGAGTAGACCTATTTCAACAAACATGATATATGGAAGACAAAAAAGCACATGAACATTTCTCAAAATAATTAGTGATTACAGAAATGTAATTTAAAACCACAAAGAGATACCACTCAACACCCCTAATAAAAGAACTGAAATTGAATACAAAAAACTAACAATACCATGTACCAGCAATGATGTAGAACAATTGGAATTTTCACACATTGCTAGTAAGAATACAAAGTGGTATACGACCACTTGGAATATATTTTTACATTTTTCATAAAGTTAAACATATACTTACCATACAACTCATCAATCCAAGTAAATGAAAACATGTTCACATAGAAACCTGTGTGAGAATATTCAGCTGCCTTAGTCGTAATTGTCCCGCACTGGAGACAACCCACTAGCCCTTTAGCTGGTGAATGGCAAACCACCATGGTACGTCCATACAATGCAATTATACTCAGCAATCGAAAGGAGTGAGTTCTAACCCATGCAGCAATAGGAATGACTCTCAAATGCATGATGCTGAGTGAAATAACTCATACTCAGAGGCTGTGATCCCCTTATGACATTCTGGAAAAGCGACTCTTTAGGAATGGACAACAGACCAGTGTTTGGCTGGTTGGTGAAGGTGGTTGTGGGGGTGGGAAGGGTTGATTACAAAGCGGCATGAGGAAATGTTGGGGGGCAACGGAGCTTTTCTGTGTCTTTATTGTGGTAATTACGTGATTATTTGCCTCTGTCAAACCTCATACAGCTGTCCACTTAAGAGGACGAGCTTTGCTGTACGTAAATTGTGTCTAGCCAACATAACATAAAGAAAATCATTAGTGCAGTTAACAGTAGTTTCGCACAACGGCGAAAAGATTAATAGATTAATTAATAGATTCTGAAATGAATCTATCAGGTCATGAGCAGTAGTTTACTTCCCAAGAGGTGGAGTAGAATGGAAAACAGGAGAGCACGCTAGTATGAGGCTGACCTGTATTTCAGGCCTGTGTGCTAATATACTGGTTTACGATGTAAAATGTGCCTTTCGATCTCTGGCTTGCAGGCCAAGATGTTTGGAAAACACTGCCCTAACTCCACTGGCCTTTCTGTTTCTTGAACATCCCATTTGTGTATGTTGTTGCTACCTGAGCACTTTCTTTTTGCATATCTTTGCATGGCTACTTGCTTTTCAACTTTTAAATCTGAACTCAAGTATTACCTTCTCAGAAAAGTCTTTCTTACCTTTCTAGAAAAGCAGGGTACTGCAGCCAGTGTCAGCATGACCTTTTAAAAAAATCCCTAGAATTGATGAAGATCAAAACTTGCCTCGAATTTGTATGTGGTGGTCAGACCTTTCTCAAAAATTGTCAGTAATGGAGGGGCACCTGGGTGGCTTAGTCGGTTGAGCGTCTGACTTCAGCTCAGGTCATGATCTCACAGTTCATGAGGTCGAGCCCCACATCGGGCTCTGTGCTGATGGCTCACAGCCTGGAGCCTGCTTCCGATTCTGTGTCTCCTTCTCTCTCTGCCCCTCCCCAACTTGTGCTCTGTCTCTCTATGTCTCTCAAAAAATAAATAAATGTAAAAAAAAATTGTCAGTAATGGAAAAAAATGTAGGAAAGTCAATAAAGTCTAATGAGTCTCTCTAGATGGAAAAAAGTTATTAGATTTCTCTAAATCCATTTCATTGGAATTAAAATGTGCATATGTATAAAGGTTTCTTGGGTATTTTTTTTTTCTTTTAACACCTTGCCTTTCATTTCTTGTATGTTTCTTCCCGCTGGAAATTACTACTTGGCGCTATTTTTTCTAATCCTATGTTAAAGCAGCTTTCCATTAATTTCAGAGTTTCTGTACTTTTCAGTGGTCAGATGTGAACATCCAGTACTTGTGAATGGAAGACTGGTATCAGGAGTCAGAGAAACCTATTCCTACCAAGCAGTGGTTCTATTTGAATGCCTCCCAGGTTTCTATCTTAATGGCAGCAACCCAGTGTTCTGTGGTGGGAGAAATACTTGGGAACCTGAGATGCCGACATGTATTAAAGGTACAAATGTGTTTTTTTTTTTCCATCTTTTTAGTTTTAATTTTTTTGACATGAAATATCAGTGAAAACAATTTTTAAAAATTTAGTATTTTGTTCCATCTTATATTTATTTACATGATGGAGATATGACATCATTCCTATGTTGTGATTTTGTACGTTTTCACAGGGTCTTTCCACGTTATCTACATCATATACAAATTTCTCATTTAGTATTTTTATGTGTAAAAATGTATAGCAACCACTTTTATTTTTATTTATTTATTTTTAATTTTTTAATGTTTATTTTTGAGAGAGAGAGAGAGAGAGAGACAGAATGTGAGCAGGGTAGGAGCAGAGAGAGAGGGAATCCGAAACAGGCTCCAGGCTCTGAGCTGTCAGCACAGAGACCGACGTGGGGCTCCAACTCACAAACCGTGAGATCATGACCTGAGCCGAAGCCGGACGCTCAACTGACTGAGCCACCCAGGCGTCCCTAGCAACCACTTTTAGAGTAGACTGAAGCATGAGAATTTTTTACATTTGTAAGTCAAGACTAAAAGAATTTTACGTACATTTATTTACACTTATAAGTCAAGAATAAAAGAATAATATTCATTTATATAAATGAAATGAAGCCAATAATTCTGAAGTCGTTGATTCTACATTATTTCGTTTTTCGGTACAGATTTCTCCCAAAATAAAACCTCTAATTTTGAGTCATTCCGATTTGTACTTTCCTGCTTATATTTTACAACAATCCTTTACATTTATGTGATTTATAGTCATTCACATTTTGAGTAGTGAAAGGGTGAAGGATGTATTTACAGCCATTTTAGTTCTATTTAGTTTTTCTAAAATTATTTGGCAGAGTCCACAGATATAAACAGGTATGTAAACTTGGGAAGGTTACATACCGTTTAAGTGGGATGCATTTAACACTTAGCATAGTGCCTGGCATATGGGGAGCTTGTAAAGGTAGCTCATATGACTTATAGCAGCACTCGAATTAGTATCAGTGAAGAGGAAGGCTTATGGCTTCTGTTTTTTAACGTGTGTTTTCTGGGTCGACTTTGCTGTTTCTTTTTTCTTTCTTTTTTTTTTTAAAGTGATCAGTTTGCTCCCAGGGTATCTTCCTGGTCTAGGACTATGTTTCACTTGCTGGACTACAACCAGTTTAGTTTGTTGTTTTTTACGTAGCACAATTTAAACTGGGAAATATCTGCTATCTCCAAATAAGACCTGTATGTCCTCCCCCCACCCCCACCCCTTCCAACTTCATACAATTTTTCTTTTTCCGTTTACTGGGCATTTTTATTTGGCAACTGCACCTAAACTTCATAGCAACTGAAAGGCAGGAAAAATCCTTATTCATTGAAATGAAATGAAATGAAATGAAGGATTTCCATTAGGTCAGCTACTTTGTTCAAGACTTGAAAGATCATTTTTACTACGTTGGAAGGAAATATCTTCCTGATTTCAGTGCTCCTATCTTTGGACTCTCTTTCCATCAGAAGCAAGAGACAACAGGAATAGTGGGAAGAACATTATCCTGGGAGACCTCACTAAGGTCCTAGTTTGGCTCAGCTTACTCAAGTAACCTCATTTCTGTGGACTTTAGCTTCTTGTTTTTTGAAAGTGTTGAACTCAAACAGATCATGATTAATAGCTTTTAATTTGTTTGTATATTTCCTATGGCCATAGTATTTTAAAGGATTTGTGGAATTATGCATGTTAATACGGTAATTAGAATATATTTTTTAAATAATTCCTGTAAACCTAGTACCTGATACCCTCCTTGTGTGCTTTACTTGAGGGCTATGAGGTTTGGGGGGAAAGAAAATGGTTTTTTTTGGTGGACTGATTTATTAAGATTGCATATGAAATTTATACTCCATGAACCATCCGTATTTACTTACATGATCCTAGTGAGTATATGCACTGTGGTGTATCCTATGTTTGTTGATATGCTCTTTTGAAAGAGTTGAACCATAAGCATTTCATAAAGGACTTATAAAACACTGATACAGTTTAGTTTTTAGAAGAAAAATGGTAAGAAAAAGCTTATAAAGAGGACAAACTACAGGGATCCTTTTTAAAAAATCAAAATCAAAACTCTCCATGGGATTGTCAATCATTTTTTTTTTCATCGGTCAGAGAAAGACTATATCAAAAGGACCAGCAACAGATAATGGTGTTAAAGCAGATCTAAATGTGCAAATATTTTTTAAGTCCAAGAAATACAAGGCAGAAGAGAAAAAGGTACACCTTCTTATGTAGTATGATACGACTTGGATGGTATTTTTTTTTACAAATATGTGTGTTTACCCTGAACACATTATTTTTATGATTTATTATTAGTCAATTTTAGGATTTCCATATAAAATACAAAGTTGTAGGGAACATTCTTAGTCATACACGCTTATGAACTTGTGCAAATATACATTAGACTACATTCCCAGCAGTAGAATTGCAAACTTTGGAAAGTATTTGTATTTTTCATTTTGAGAAATAATGAGTCTTTTCTGAAAATAATTCAAAATTAAATCCATAATTTTGTGTTGATAAGGCTAGTGAATTGTATCCAATTTACTTTTCCAGGTTTCAAGCCTACTCATCCAACCAAACCTCCAGTTTCAAAGTATCCAGGTTCAGTAATACTTCCTCCTGCTTATATAGTTAACAACTTGATAAGGTGATGAATGCCACGTTGTGTCTTGTTCTAATTTGCATTTCTTTAATTATCATCAAAGAATTTGAACTTTTTTGCCCCACTTTGATTTATCCAGGCCCTTTGCTCATTTTTTAAAAATTAGATTTCTAAAATATTTTTCTTCTTGATTTGTGAGAGTTCATTGTAAGTTAAAACACTTTTAATACGAAGTGAACATTTTTTCAGGGGCTTTGGGGCCTTATTTTCACTGGTCAGTTTTCTTTTAAGATTTTTATGGTGTACTACTGGTTATAGATGCCTTTTTGTAACATTTTGTTACATGAGTGGTAAATGGATGATATATTTTTATAAATTTTCAAACATTGTGAAAGTATACAGAGTAAAGAATTACCCTTCTTTTTCTCTAGTCTTTTAGTTGAGTTAATAACTGTTAATAGTTTAGGGTTTCTCTTTATTTCTGTACGTCAACATCCTTAGATGTGTAGTTATACATATAGTTGGGCATTTTTTCTTTTATCTTAAACAAAATTGACATCATCTTGTATGTAATTTTTTGAAACTTGCCCTTTTCCCATTGAATGTCTTATATTGGGGTTGTATTTAGATTTATTGCCATTCCTTCTGATGATGACTTTGAAATGTATACAGTATTTATTTATTTAACTATTCTGTTAGTGGTCTTTTACATGTATAGAAATTTTACATCAATAAGTAGATGGACTGATGGACGTATCGATCTTCTCCCTAATGGCTGTGTGTGTTTTGTCTGTCTTATAAAAGCTTTAGGCTTTTCCCATGCTAAAACTTTATAAACATTTCAACCCTGTGTTCTGATTGTATTCTTTGCATTTAAATCATTGGTGCATCTGAAATTCATTCTGACAAATGGAGTGAGATAGGTCTCCTCTCCACTCTACCCACCCCCTTGTAATGGTGAAATAGCAACATCTGTTGACTAAGTTGTCCTCTCTCCAACTGTTTTCCAGTCATCTTTATGTTTCCTTGAACTCTGGCCATTCTTGTAACAACACTGAGTCATTTTTTCCCCCACTATAATACTATGATATGTTTTGGGTTTTTTAAAATTTTTATTTAAGTCTATTTATTTTGAGAGGGAGAGAGTGAGAGCAGAGCAGAGGAGGGGCAGAGAGAGAGGGAGAGAGAGAGAATCCCAAGTATGCTCCTCACTGACCGCACGGAGCCCGACGTGGGGCTTGAACCTGCGAACCATGATGTCGTGACCTGAGCTGAGCCATCCAGGTGCCCCACTATAATTTGTTTTAATATCTGGCAGAACACTTCCTTTTCAGCAACACTTAGACTATTCTGTATATTAGTTTTTCTAGATAAACTTGTATTATATTTTACTGTTTTAACCATTTTCAGTGTGCATTTCAGTGGCATAAAGTGCATCCACATTGTTTGTAACCAGCACTATCCCCCAAACTTTTTCATCATCTCAAATTGAAACCTTATACACATTAAACAATAACTCTCAATCCGCCCCCGCC